TTGCCTTGTTCGGCAGCAGTAAATAATAAACTTGATTATAAAAACGTTCATATCAAATTCATTCAACCTAATATCAATAAACGTTCATACGCAGTATCAATATTTTGAACCACTCAATAATAAACTTAAGTCGTTACACAGTTGATAAGAGTCGTATGAAAATAAACATTTTAGTTGGAAAAATTCCCAAGTAAGAATACAAATTCAAGTGCAATATACGAAGTATGTATTTCTTTATTACTGTAAAAAGGATTTGATCGATTAACCTGAAAGAGTAAAGAATTAAAGATACATAAAGATTCTGATATCAATGCGGCAGACGAAAGAAATGGCTTGCACCAACATGCAGTTCGGTCAACTTATAAAAAATTCTCTGACTCCCTCAGTCATGCGAATTAATGGTCTTTACAATTTATAAGGCACTCTTGTACTACACTTCGTATATTACAGCGATAGACTCCAATAATTGCGTCAATAGAAAGCTCAAAAGACACATATTTACTTCAATAGCTTATTGCACTTTCCAAAGAATTATTACACCAAATTATTCTCCTGCCTTAGTAAACTGTTCCCCTTCCGATACTTTTCTTGATAGCATCATATATATTCATTGATGATATGTCTAAAAGTAATTGAATACCTTGTACTCCGATAATACAACAAATTAAATGAACTGCTCAGTCTGTAATTATCTTGTTGCTACTTGCAAGCATAATATCATCATTCACTCGAGAAAACTTTAATTAAAACTATTTTGCTCCTAAAAGCTACGGTATTCCCGCCCAAATTCCCTCCCCACGTACTTTTCTGTTTATATATGTATAGAAATATAGAATATATATATATATATATATATATATATATATATAGATATGGATATTGATTTACCTCACCAAAAAATACACAGTTAAAAAATTAGGTGATTTTGATTTCACCGGTTTCAATTCATTTTCAGATATGTAATTAAACATGACTATTGTAGTTTTAAAAGCCTATGTATACGTGATTTGCGGTGTAACATCCCCTGCAACACCAAAAGTATGTTAGTAGCATTACATTTGTGAAAATGCAATTAGGGTAAACTTTTGTTGAAATGCATCGAGCATTTAACACTAATGCAAAAAAAAAGAGGAAAAAAAGTTGAAAACCTTTAAAATTAATCTTGAGCTTCTATTCCCATCTCAACCGATTTCTGAAATGTACATCAAGGAGATGAGCTTTTATAGTGGACTTGCTTGTTTAAAGGTGAGGCTAATTATTACACCGAGGGATTGAGCCACTAAATAGTAAATACTTCACTAATTCAGCCCAATTATTTCTAGTCAATTAATTCTTTTCTTGAATAATGTAACGATACAATTCATGGCCACCGATTGAATGCTACTCCGTATTCAAGTACTCTGTAATACCGTAATAATATTTGACCGCCAACATGTTACTGCACGTGTGCACATTTTTGGTGTTCCAATAATTGCTCGGTGCACTATTTGTTTACAATAATTACTCATTCAAATTGCTACAGTGTTCCGCCCAAATTTTCTCTGCACTTTTCTGTTTTAATATATATATATAGATAAGTAATTGAATGTAGATGGTTTAAATATGTTTTTAGTCCCTGCAAATATAGTGCATTTTGTTTTATATCCCAGCAAAGTTATTTTTTGTTTTTCGTCCTTGCAATTTATGTTGGCTTTCTTTTTAGTCCATCACTCAAGATAACTACCTCCGTTTGACCTCGAAATAATCCCGATTAATGGATTTCCTCTAATTCTTTGTCATGCTGTTGAAGAAATATTTAATTTAATTTTTAAGAAGGGTTTTAATATATATTTTTAAAATGTCAATACTGAGTTTTAAATCGTTTTATCTCTCATATTAGTCTAAAAAAATAATAAAAGGACAAATTTAAATATTTCTAGTAGATTTATGTAACTGACAATAACTTTTTTGTAAGTAGAGTAGTTTCAGAATCAGAGATGGACTAAAACCAAAATAGTGCATATTGCAGGGATGAAAACAATAAAAATATTTTGCAAGGACTTAAAACAAATTGTGTCATATTTGCAGGGACTAAAAACGTATTTAAGCCAATCTAGATCGAGCAAAGTACTATCCGGCTCATTTCGAATTCGAGTCTATCGAACACCTTGAAATTATAGATATAATTGTTTTTAAAGGAAAAGATCAAATATACCAATTCAAACAATCATTCGCCAACTGGCTTGAGATACAACTCATATTAACATCATAATCACTACCGGCATTGAACAATGATGCCGTAACAAGCTTATGGATCGCACGATTCACAAATCATTTACAAAATTACACAAACACGCTAGCAACCCAACTTAGGCTCTGCTTCCCGTACAATCATTTGTAGCCCCATCATCCAATCGTTCCAAAAGTAGGTTAAAACCCATCGGGCCCTTATCCTCGGCTATGCTGCTCACCATCGTCTCGCTCTGGACTGCCCGCCATCCTAGTGGAACAAAAGCTCCCATATTAATCACATGTCAAACATTAAAATAATGGTTATTCCATACAACCTCAATGTGCTCCTTCCAAATACCATTCAATAGAGCGATAAATTTGCATAACTTCTCTTCAGTCATGGAGTTAAACAGTTTCTCCATCTATCCTTGTCACGAAGCTGCAGGACATCGAAATCATTCCTATCCTTTCCCCAGACCTCAACTACTACCCGAAAATCTTTAAAAGGATGGACCAATGTTTTGTCTTCCTCACTACACTACTTGTAGCTTCCCGGTATATCCACCATCCGTTTCATCAACTTACCCGTCGTCATCAAAACATTTGCCATTTTCTGCCAAAAAATGCTCAATTTTTAGTGGCATAAAGAAGCCCCGCATTTTAGTCTAGCCTACCCAAGTAGTCTCCTCAACCCCTCCAATCTGCCTGCTATATTGTGATTTAATTGTATATTATCCTCGAGAGTCCCCGACCCACCAATACTCATCCTTTATGTCACGACGGCTAAGGTTGTGTTTGGGAGTTGGGTTTCGGAGGGGAGGGGGTGGTTGACAAGGGTTTATGGCACTCTCTTTCATGTTTGAGAGTTAAGAAATATGGAGAGGTGGTTTTAGAGGGCTTTTGTAACCCTCCAAAACCTTCAAATGCTCAATTTTCAAGTTCCCCAAAAATGGGGAATTTTGAAGGATAACTAATCAACAACTTCAGCTCAATTTTAAATAAATATAAATTCAATCATTTGAATTTGTCATATATGTGACATGAATTTAATTATAATTCATCCAAAACCTTTATCTTTTCAAACTTGTTACTTCCAAACAATAAGAAGGGTTTCCAACGCTTTCCCTCCCCTTCCCTTCCAATGGCTAACCTTCAACCCCCCCCCCCCCCTCTCTTTCAAAATCCCAAACATACCCTAAGAGGAATATCTAGAATAATCTACATGTCCCACACATTGAAATTAGCTCTAATCCTCTCCGGATTTTAGTCAGACCGGTCCTCTTTAATTAAAGCTGCTACATTCATATCAGCTATTCCGACCAGCTTAGTCGATGAAACCAATACATTGCCTTCTCTTGGGAGCCATCTACATTTCAAACATATATATTATATGTCCATTACCAACTCTTCTCTGAGTCCCCTCTCGGATAACACTTTGGGCTTCAAAGATGCTGCGCCAGATGAACAAGGGATTACTTCCTATCTTCGCTTCTAAAAAAGAAGACTGATGGATATATCGTACTTTGAAAACCTTGATCACTAGCGAGTTCGGGTCAATAGTAAGCTTTCATGCTTGTTTACCCAACATGTCTGTAAAAATTCCCTCATCAAGTGGTACCCTAACCCGCTTTTACATTTAGGTCTACATAATACTTTCCATAACTTCCATCGTATACCTTGTCCCTCAAAACCCCCTCCCCGCCACCAATAGTCATTCATTAGTCTCTCGATCTCCAAACAAAGGTCCAAAGGTAGTAGCAACACATTCATGACACAGGAAGGCATTGTCTAGATGATCGTCTTTAGAAACACTTCAATTTCTGCTTTAATTTGGTAAAAAATGTTGTTCCCGGTTGTGATCAATTTTAGAATTCTCTCTCTCTCTCTCTCATATATCCTAGTATCTTCGTCCTTTGTCGCCCTACTAACATAGGCATCCCCAAATAGAGATTACATGTCTCCCCAGCAAAAACACTCTATTTATTGCATATCCTATCTTTCGCATGATCTAGAACATTAAGCAAAAAGAAATTGATGGTTTAGCAAAGTTTATTGGCACAAGCATACATATGTAAAATTCCTTTGATCACCACATTTTCCTCCTCCCTTGTCCTGAAACAAACTGTCATCTGCAAAAAAACAGGTGGGATATTTTTGGTCCCCCTAGCCACTGAAACACCCTTAATCTTCCTCAGGGCCTCATTCTTCCGAATAAGCAAGCTTAACCCCTTTGTTACCAAGTATAGTGGACAAACTTATTAGTTACAAGACATGATCTACAGTTAGATAAAGTTACAATACTAATAAGTAATAATAAGGGATATCAACATAAGCTACAAAATCAAATAAAAAATCTCCCTTTTAAAATATGTTTCTACCTCTGTTCGTATCATACAAAAAAGTTTACTTTTTCCCTTTTCAAGTAATTTATTTTCTATTTTTATTATTTCTCTCTCATCCAAGTCTGATTAAAATGGAGTGCATAGTAAAATTCTTTCAAAAAATATCCTTGCTAATCACATGGATGTCTCCATGTTTTTTATTAAGCAAAAACTACATAGGTTATAACACATAGTCAAATACACAACAGTACTAAGAACATCAAAAGCTAAAAGAATCCAATTGGCAATTGATACTGGATCCCCTTGATTAAACTTGAATTACACTACTTACCCAGTACAGATACGTTAGAGGTGACCTTTTACCAATTTTACTGACATTCAGTAAGGGGAATAGTAATTCTTTGAATTACAAGCATCAAAACGACCCAACCTAGAAGGGGTAATAGTGTAATACTATCCAAAGGTGTCCCAAATACTTGTCGACTGTTTTCATATGTGGTACCTTCATAATGTGACCTATATCCATCACTATGTGATCTATAGCCATTATGCTGGTGTAATGGTACACCAGGGGGAACTTTTGGATAACTTGGTTGATGCTCAGAGAACCGAAATGGTGCAGAAAAACTCAGAGAATATGGAGAGATTGCTTTATCTTTATCATATGGCGATACAGACTGCATCCTTTGTCTAACAGAAGAATTTAATGCATGAGGGGTTTCTGTTGATGAGTTTGTTGATTGTTTATCTCTTCTTGAAATCGCAAATTTCAGTGTTTTGTTGCACAATGTCACCAGACCAGAAAATAGTTTGACAGCATATTCTACTATTTCCATGTATATGTGTGTTGTGTGTCAACATTACACACATACGTGCCTACGTGGTGTTGTCATTTAGTATTTAAGTGATTCATTTTTGTTGGATTACTTGTGAATTTTAAACAACGCACCATAAATTTTAAGAGTAAATCTCGGTTAGCTCAAACAACTTCACATATTCTCAATGCTATATGTACAACTTTGTGCATTATAATTTAAACATAAACTAATTGATCAATACCTTCGTATCCACAGTAATTAGTTTACTCTTATATTGCAGGGGTGTATTGTACCTAGAATTAGTGGGTGATGGTGCCATGGACTCCAACCATGACCCAATATTGAACTAAAGTAAAAGCTCATAAACAGGATCAGCCCATGAAGGGAATCAGTCCATCAATGGGATCAACTCTTTAATCAGGATTAATAATGAATAATAACCACTGGGCCTAATTATTAGGAATCAGTCCCACGAAAGGAACCCACAACCAGGTCGGGCTGGACGGTAGACCTCGAACCTGGGCGGAGTTCCAGTGAGGTCGGACTCTTCTTAGGGCTTATGTGACAGGCTATCATAGTACGAGCATAGCTATCTGGCAGCGGCATGAATAAAGGAAGGAACGTGGATCTGAGGGAGACAATCATGGCACAACGTTCGAGACGTTACAAGACTCTATTTCAATTAATGGCATTTAATGTATCAGTTTCTTCCTAAAATACTAGTACCTAAGGTCTATAAATACTCCATGTACACATCCTACCAAGGATCCGAATTCCGGAATAATAATATTGCCTTACACTGTCTAAATTTCATATGCTCTCATAGATATAGCTCTCGTAGTTGGATTAAACTCCATCATTTGGTGCTCTCGTTGAGGGAACGATTTATGACGACGATGGTTGGATCACACAGTCACAACCGTGTTGGCAGCAATCAAGGTGATGCTCGATTGGATCAGGTCGTGATCAAAGATGAAGGGTCTCGTTACGGCGGAGTGATTTCTGAAGAAGAAACGACAACATGGGGATTAAAGGTTACTTGAGGAACCAACTGCAAGGCGTTGGGAGTTCCAGGCGTCAGGCAACACGTCCACCGCAATTCCAGACGCCGGCCACCTGGAACCTCATTCCCAGCGTAGATCCCGGCGCAAGCTTTGGCAAGTTTGGAAAGCTGGATACGAAAGTAAAACAAGATTTCTTTTTAAGCATGGCTCCTGAACAACGTTATCAGTGGATCAATTGTCTAGATTAGGTGAATCTCCACTAGAGATATCAATGATAAATAGGCCATATTTGAGTATTTTCTTTATCTATTGTTGGAGTGATTTAGTTTTATATCGATTGTAACATGATATGGTTTATTTGACTTGTTTTACGGATTATCTTTTATATTTTTTTTTTGTTTTTATGGATTATCCTTTAGAACTTTTCATTTTACAATTTAACATATTTTACTTTTTAAAATTATCTGCCTTTTTTCCTTCTATTAACAATGTGTGGAACAGATATATATGGAGCAGATGAAGAAGGGACTGAGTTTTATGAGACTCTTAAGATATTGCTAATGACAATAGATCAATAACTTACATGATATATAATCCCGCTCAAGGAATCAATGATGAACCTATTAGATGCCCATTGACTCGCCGACCTGTGACGGCTAACAGGATTAAATATAGGGAAAAGTTCCCGAAATGTGACTAAAATAGTTTGAAAATTTCAAAATAGGACTGTCATGTTTTTATTCCAAAAAATAGGAGTAATTATTGCCAAGTTTGGAAAATACTGTCATGTTTGAAGTCTGGTACTGCCAAAACATGACAGTAATTAGTCCTATTTTGAGAATAAAAACATGGCAGTCCTATTTTTGGAATTTTCAAACCTATTTAGTCCCATTTTGGATAATATCTCTTAAATATATGGATGAAATAATGGCCGATGACCTTGAAACATTTAGAGATGTGTACCGAATGTATCCTGACATTTTTCAAAGATTATGTTATATCATAAAAAATAAAATGCCTCTAGAAGATACACGATATATTTGTGTTGAAGAAATAGTTGCAACATTTTTACTTATCATACTGTCGACTGGAACAACCGCTATAGTCAACCAAGGATGATATTTAAGCGGTCACACTTCACCATTAGTAGAAGCTTCAACAAAGTATTGAAAGCATGAAATACAATAGCTCCGGAATTTATGTCCAAACCGGAATCCGTACCACATGTCATCGGATATTACAGATGTTTCCTTTTGTACTGAAATTTGTTGGGCTGGCCTGGTCTGATTTGATCTGGTCTGGTCTGGTAAATGTCTGGTCTCTGTGTATTTTATAACTACGGAAGTCTGGTTTGATCTGGTCTGGTCTGGGACTGAAAACAGTCCAAAAGAAAACATCCTACAAGGTTTTATCCTCACTTTAAGGTGAGTAATGCAACATTTTATTGATGATTAATAGTTTATTTTTACACGATTAAGGATAATTAATTAATTGTGTTGGTATATTTTCTTTTCCTAATGTTAAGATTGCATCAGAGCAGTGGATGACAATCACATTCCTAAGAGCATCTTCAATGCTACAATGTGTACGGTGCACATGTGGCATGAGAGAGATAGACACAAAAAATTGAATCTATAACATTTCTCTCTCATTCTTTTCACGGTTTTATGTATTTTTGGTAAGTTTTTCTCTGCAATGTTAAGCACAATGTCTACACCTAGACATTGTGTTTGATGTTGTGAAGAAAAACTTACCAAAATGATACAAGATCCTTCAAAAGAAAGAGATATTCTATTTATTGTTTATTGTTTTTTAATGGGCTCTCGTTTTAGGATGCAAGATGCTCTAACATAGGGTTGTAAATGAATCAAATAATTTGTGCTCGATTCGCGATTCGAATTCGTATAAGACGATTCGAATTCGAAAAATTAAAATACAAATACAAATATGAATATTAAATATGATTTGAGTTGTTATCAAATACAAATAAGAATATCAGTGTATTCGATTCGAATATTAATCAAATATATTCGATTAATAATAGTGATAATATTAATAATAATAATAATAATAATAATAATAATAATAACAACAACAACAACACTATAATAACTTTTACTCTGTAAAAGGTAGCAATACCCTAAAGTGTAATTCATATATACATTTATGCATACATATTCTAAGTCCATTTGTAATAAGTCAGAGTATAAATTCGAATACAAATCGGATTTTTGGTTCAAATGTCTTTCAAATACAATACAAATAATTATGTATTTGGTTTGCAGAATAAAATTAGAGTCGTTTGACTTTGATATATACAATTATCAACTTATTTCACACATTACAAGTATAATTTCTAACATGTGTGTTAGTGTTTATTTCAAAAAGTTTGAAATAGATTTATATATGTTAATAATAAAGTTGATTCACTTAAGTATATCATGCACAATCTAAAACTACATTGATCCATTGAATTTAAATTCTAAAAACACATATTAAGTCATAGCGTACATTTACAACATAAAAAATATAATAAAATTTATTTTAAAGTGATATTTGACTAATATTTAACTTATGCTCAAATATATTCGATATTCATATGAGATTCGTTAACTATTCGTATTATTAAACAAATACAAATACAAATCTAAATTAATATTTGTTTCATATTTGAATTTGAATTCGTATTCGAAAAAATTAAACAAATACAAATACAACTTCTTTCTTTTTTCTTGCTGGGTAAGAACTCTACTAGCTTGAAGTGTCGTTCTTCAGGTGTTCGCATTCTTCCGGCTTTGGAGATCCGCTTGACCTAATTGAAAATGTTTCTCACCAGGTAAAAGATCGACATTTTGTTAAATTTATCGAACTAGGGCCTGTTCTGAAATCTTCGTTGTACTGACAACTGTTAATCTACCCCCCTATATTGTCTTCGTTCTGATGCGTATTCTCGTTGGGTCATTGGGTGGAGTAAAGAACGGAGTACGATCGAGGTGTAAACACCTTTTCTCCTGAAGGTCGTCTGTTCCAAGTTGAGTATGCTATTGAAGCTATTAAGGTAATTCTGTGCTTTATTTTGAATATTTCTCCCTGTTATTTTAATCGAATGATATATACTATGGAGCATCTTTGGACTAACTCGTAAGTGGATTTGGAGTGTTGATTTCGTCATTGTGTTTCGAATGTGTTGTAGCTCGGTTCGACTGCTATTGGGATAAAGACTAAAGAAGGAGTTGTTATTGCTGTTGAGAAGCGCATCACTTCCCCACTCCTGGTATGATTTTCATTGAAATCCTTGTTCGTCTAGTGCTCAGAAGTTAGATCCTTGATTATAATATGGTGTTCATAATCTTTTATGCATATGTTATACTTAATTCTGGAGAAGTATTTTTGTTTTTTTTCAGTTAATTATTATTTCTGAGTAATAGTAGTGTGATGGACTGATGGTCTGATGGTCTGGTTGGATAAAGGGTGAAACTGATTTTTTTTTACTTGATGGGAACTGCGAACAGTGCAGTTTTGAGTCGTACTTGTTCAGAGAGTGAGGAGTGAGAGAGAGAAATGAAAAATGGAATTGGCTTGAGGGAAATGACATGGTGTTGTTGAAAACATGTCTGGTTTACTGAATACAAGTATACAATTGCATTGGGGGGTGGGGGTGGCATGCAAAGCTGCAATTCTAGCTGAAAGCTGATAAGCTAGTAGCTAGGAGTCTGAGAGTTGAAAGCTGTAATTGATGTCAGAAGTGTTCGGTAAAATCAGTGGTTGATTAACTGATTTAAGTAGAAAGGCACAAACATGCACTCCTTACTAGTGATAATAGATATAGATGAATAGAGTCATAAAGTTTTTTTGTAATAGAATAAGTTGATTAATCTATTATAAAAAACATTAAAAGCTAGTTACTTATTATGGAAAGCATTTAGTATATAGCTTTTCAAATAAGAGTTTTTCTTATTCTTTTATTTTATTTGTGTAACATTTTTTATGGCTTATTTGGAGTTTAATGTAA